AGGTTAGTCATTAATGAGGTCACTTCGCACCTCGGCGCGAAGTAATGTCAGTCGAGACTAACGTCCCACACCCATTCCACCCTCCATGACCTCTGCATACGACTCGTCTTCGTTACGTACGGTACAGAATCTCAAAATTTTCGGCACATGCACATAGCACAACATACAGACACTTCACAAAAGTAAAACTTACAGTTACGTGTCCATACTTTTACAGGTTTACGTTAACCTTAAAGTTCTAATACAGAGCATTAATTCGAGCGGAAAATTATTTAAAAAACTGCCTCAAACTGTACGAAACTCATCAAAAGGTCCTACAATGATTAGGTTTCATCGATATTCCTACGAGGAAAACAACGTGAATGAGAGGAAGAAATATTATCAGCTCTCCATGAAAAATCCTCTGACAGTGAATTGATCTAGTCTCTGAAGAGGGCAGCACTAAAGAAAAAACTTGTGGAGAAGCAATGGAGAACGATATTACAACCTCAGTATTACTCTGCCATAAAGGGTAATCCCATAAGTCAAAGGTTGGAACCGGTATAGAACAGAAATGAGTAGAACAGAAATATAGAAGAAATCAATGATTATTGTTCAAAGAAGTTCGGGGAGAGCAAAAAGGAGTCGGAGAAAGACTAAAAGAAATAGAAAATAGAAAAGGAAGAGGAGCTGACAAGATTAATATGGATATATACATATGGGCATACTTGGATTAGTAAGGCGTAGGGAGGGAGCGCTACCGAATGTAAGACACGGAAAGATTGAAGAAATGGAAAAGGAGGGAGAATAAGGGAGAGAAGAAGACTGCAATTGAATGTGAAAAGTGGGAGAAAGACGAAAAGTCAACAGTGAATGGGAATCGAAACATCAAAAGAACAAGTGAACCACTAATCGAAGCATTCCCTAGATCGATGCTCAAAGTCTGAAAAATGGCGCGCGGCGAACTTGTGGGAGAATTCAAGCTCCGCGCCGCAAAACAGCAGAAAATTAGGCTTGGAACGCGCAACATACCGTTGCCTCCGTGTCATCGAAAAACTGCCGTTCCCAATCCAGTCTGTCAGGACCCGGGGTGTCCAGACCATTCGTAGTATTTGTTTGCCTTACACCACCCATTGGAGCATAATTGGCAGCTGTTTGTTGAGGACCCGCTCCGCTCTGTTGAGATGCAGCTAGCCTCCAACGGGCTGTTCCCCCGATTAGGTCACTTCGCCTAAAAGAACGTACAACTATGAAATGAATAGAGGATGGAAGTAATGTTAAGAGAAAGTATGTGCAGACCTTTTCTTGTTGCTGTAGATAATTTTCGCAATGACTGCTACTGCCACCACAAATAGGATTATTGATAAAAAGACTAGCCCTGACGACGACGATTCGTCTGGAAGTGGCACTTTCGTCGTCAGCTTGGACACTATAATAATTACTTTAACAAAGGGCACCAAAAAGCCGCAACTACCAAACTTCGTTCAAAAGACGCATTTTTTCGCATATTGGAGCGTTTTTAAACGAAACAAATAAGAAATCTACTGAAAATTTATGTTAACGTGACGTGTAATTTACGTTTCCTACTATTCAAATAACAATCCATAGACCAAATATTATAAATTGCAAAGCACATGTGGTGGGGCCTGAAAGGTAAAAAAAAACTGGTAACTAAAAAAAAACGACTTGCACAACACCTTGTCTTCGGAAATCTAGGAAAAAACTAAATGCGAGAAATGAGAAACAAAAGCCGGAGAAGTGAGGAAAATAAAGAAGAGCCATCAGAAATGAGAAGATGACTATATAAAACGCACCAGTAGTTGTGACAATATCAGTACTAGTGACTGGCATTGGAGTAGTAGTTGTGGTTGTAGGACTCGTGGGAAGCAATTTGGTAACAGTCGTGCTCACCTGAATATCACATTGAATTCACTCAAGAAACTATTACACTTTTATTAAACCTAATGTAGCGAGCTTTTGGCGAGGCAGCAGTCCCACCCTTTGACACTCTTCTAGAGGCAACCTCTATGGAATAGATTCTTGTTATTAGAAACTATTCAGAAAAACAACAATTGATGTTATCTATGTTCTACTTATTAACAACAAGGCATATTATGGCGATGTAATGGGCACTGCGTTAAGCTGAAGAATGACGTCAATGAAATGGAAAACAAGCAAGAAACCTGTTCAGGATGAAGGTTCAACCCTGACGTTTATGACCGTAAACTGCAAAAACGAAAGCCTTGCTGAAGCGAACGACTAACAGATAAAGGACATCTACGCCACAAAAAAGAAAAGAAAAAGATCGAGCCACAACTCCCAAAACCTAGCTAGTGCTAACTATATGACAAAGTGGGTTTAAAATTGGGAAAAAATGCGATAAGATTGAAAGAAAATAGAGAAGTCTATGGTCTCTGGAAGAGGTTACAGATCCTCCTTTTCAAATTTTTTCGAGTATCCGATCAATATTTCCATCGAGAGAAGAGTGAAGAAAAATGCCATGAGTTATTCCACTGCATTAACGGCGAATATCTAAAAGGTAACCCGGAAAGTGACACCTCTTCAGCTCTTTCGACGCTCGCAGTCCTGAGCCTAATTTTATTGCCACCCAATAGCCTCAGCCGAACAGTACTATCCGATAATATTTGTGCCAGCCCAAAACCTAAGTGAGACTATTATAAGTGTAAACTAAGTTCTTAGCTCCTAGATGGGAAAGTAAACAACGCGTAGAGAAACAAAGTCAAAGTTTTCGGGGACTTTGCACCCTAAAAACATGAAAACGAGCCTAAAATCTAATTGGACACAACCCCTTTCCCTTTTTCAAATAACAAACCGTCTGTACCCCCGTAAATCGATCGATTCTTGCGCAACATATGTGCAACTTGTTCTTGATAACTTTGCGAGCGTACTGCAGGAATTCTGGCATTTGTTCCCCTCACATTTTATTGACTTATATGTCGTGTGTCGCCGACATGAACGAATGAGAACATGTTACGCAGTGCGAAATTTAATTAAAAGCCACTGAGGCAATTTTTGTCCGCACATCACCTAAAAGGAGCCCATCTAGGAGTCGCCAAGATGGAAACAGCACCGTCCCAAGAGGATGAGCTGCTTATGGTAGATTAAAGGAGTGGGATACCGATTCAACTTGGACTGCTCAGTAGGACTCATTTTCCAGTTTGAGAACTTTCAATGGATGCATTTAACATCGAATGAGAGGGGTTTCTGATCACGGAACGATTAGCAAAATTCGCTTTAATCCTTAACCCCTCTTCACCTTTCAAACTCTTACGTCTCGAATGTTCACCCGAACACCTCTCCTTCCGCTTCACTGAGGCGCTATTAAGGATTGTGAGTCACTACGTATGTGTGGGTTGCAGGAACTACCTAGAAGATAGTGATTCAATTATGAAGTCGAACTTTAGACGAAGGCGATATCGTGTCATTGATATATCACAAATCAACAACAGGCCCTGCCACATAACTTCGGCCCTGTAGTTGCGGAAAATGTGGTGCGGTCTCTCTCTCTGTGAGGTTGATTGGTGAATGTCAACGACACGATATCGCCGTCGTCATCAGCAGTTCTGAAGGATTTTATGCTTTGAACTCCATAAATCATTTAGAACCATGATTAAGTAAAAATTAATGTAAAAAATGGTTAGCTTTGTATGGAAGGGGTGAGCGCATGAGTAGAGGGAGATCGATGGGAGAAAACAAAAGGAAGTGCAGTAAAAAATAAAAATAGTCAACGACTCTTGTATTAAAGAAAAAGAAAAAAACAAGAACCGATGGGAGAATCGTCGTGGTGACGGTGCTGTTGCTCAATACGGTGGTGGTATTTGCTTCCGTCAAATTTCCCAACGCCGCCTGTGCAGTTGTTTGAAGTGTCGTCACCGTCACATTCACCACCCTGAACAAATCTTGAATATGGACGATATTGATTGAATAATATTAGATGATTCACAATTTCATCGAAAGCTTTGCCAACTCATCGCCAGCAGCCTTTTCGGCCAAACTTTTCTGTTAATTATGAATTGTATATCACAATCCCTACAAGCGCCTATGCATGGCCAGTCGGAAGCTCGCATTCCTCTACTGATATTCAAATAAACAAAATCGCTATTTTTCTATATGAATTGTTAATTAAGTGGGCGGGGTTTGGAGTTAGGGGGCGGAGCTTCTCCTTAACTTCTTCTTCGAAGTTCAATTTAATCCATCAAGTTAGAGGGTGACTGCATTCAATTTCAATTTCATTCCAATTCATTTTTCACCGGTAGTGTCAACCGCTCTTATCTATGAAATTTCAGGGTACTCCATTAAAAGCTCCTTACACACAGATAAAGAAAAAATTCAAGACGGAACCAATTTCCAAAAAGCAAAATCAGTAAACTTTTGAGCAGCTCAATTGATGAAACTCGCACCCAAGCCCATACATCCAATTAGTGGCCGCGTTCACGTTCAAACTAGGAATATAGAGCTCTCCTAACAGGTATGACGGTTAGTAGAGCGGAGCTGGTGTTGTGGTAAGTGGCACACTATCACACCCATAATCGCAATTTCAAAATGCGTGAAAATCCCTATACACGCACTACTATTTATAACGCATATATAGGGGATCGACTTATGCACAAGTCTGATTTGGTCTCTTACTTGTTGGTTTTAGAAAGCCTTGGTGGTCTAGACGAAATTGAATTTTGGGGGTAGTGCACGTAATGAGCTTCGTTATTGGCTACTTCCATTTCCTTCGGATTAGCTGGTTCGAAAAATATCCAATACTCAGATGCCCGAGCAGAGGCTCTGTCCAGTTTTCTTTCTTGGTAATATCCTTCAACAAAACTTGAAAAACTTCTTTTTCGTAGTCATTCGCTGAAAAATAATCATGAAAATAAATGAGCTCTACGAGGTAAATGGGGAAAGCAAGTTCGGTGACTCGTCCAGCCGTCCAAAACCATTAGCGACTCACAACCTGCACTCGCTTTACTGAGGAGAACAAGAGTCTGACGACTCGACTGTCTAGGTTTCATATTAATAACACCGCGACTAATTACTACGTAAAGGAAAAAAGGGTGAGCCTGCCAATACTGAAAACGATCTTACTCAAACTGGTAAGGGTATTCCCAATTATGAGAAGAACAACTTGGGGCGAGGCAAGTAATTAAAAGAGAACCTAAGAAGACATGTGTCCTTTGAGATGCCATTCAGACAGCATAGGCATCCCAACTAGTGTTCCAAAATCTATACCTTGATGTGCCGCGCATCGCAATGAGAAATTTCAATTCGATCTGGTTGTTTTACATCCTATCATTGAAGCAGTGGGTGAGACATAGAGCACCACATTCACAAACATGGACATGGCTTCAGAGCCAGGATTCACATCCGCCCAGAGCAAGCAAGCCTTCCATATCTCCAGGGTCGGCTAGTTTGTGACAACACATTTGGGAGGATAAAAGCACTAACTTGTTCATCGGCTAGACTCCGCAAGTCATGGGGTGTCACAAACACATTCAATGCGGCACTATGATTTCATATTGAGTTCCAATGAAAGGACGCATCTCTGGGACGAGATTGTTCAACACCAAAAAGCTTTATGCTTCAGATTTTATCCTTGTGGCAAACAACCGTGCCGTAATCGAAACTCAGGTTCTCCCTTGCAACGACAAATGAGAAGCTTTCAAGTATATTCATTTCCACTAACTTTGGAATTTAACGTTCCAGTACCCTATACTGACTGCTCATCGAAAATGTACCCTCGCTTCTGGGGAGAATACTTCATAATTAGGAGAAGAAGTTTTGCTTGCAGTAAAAATATCGGGTACTTGAAAATACTTCGAGCTAGTCGCCTACAACAACAAGAGTATGCAATATCAGAATCGGCAAATTTCTGCCACTTCACTGGCAACACATGGATACTGCGCTCGCTCAAGCCTAATACTCCATTTTCGACACTAATAACCGACTTCGCGGAAACCTGTCTTGCTTGGAAAGTGCACCGGTGATTGAAAGAGACGGACTCAAAGCACGCAGGTGATACATCCATGTAATTGCTGTCATCAATTACCTACATATATCTGCACCTGCGAAAAAAAATAAATGGATAGTATAAAAAATATTAACTTAACAGCCACTGGTGTCGCGTTGAGCATACTGAATGAGCCAAATAATGGCATTCTCGATGAGATACAGCAAGGTGGTAGACAGCGACAAACTGAGTTCGCTGAAAGGTTTCCCCTGAGGCAAGCCGCTCCTGAGTAGGCGTAATGCATGCACCTCAATGAGGCGGGGTTCCCTGCCAGCTGGAGGACTCTCACGCTTTCTTCTACGAAAAACCCAAAATCTCTCACAAATACGACCTTTCGCATTTAGAAAATTAACAATGAACAGATTTTTTTTAGCACAAATGACGTTTCGCTCCTATTTGCTTCCCGAAAATGGCTTCGCTAAAGACCATGTTTCCAACATCCAATGCTTTCATTATTAGGAATTCTTGATAGTTTTCCTTCGAATAAAATGAGTAGCGAAGGAGACAAAAAGGCAACATTATAGTGTTAAGTCAAGCAAGTTCCATCGTTGTCAGCGACCCGCTCTTAACGTTCTAACTTTGCGAATGCTCTTTCCGATCTCCTCGTTTCCACGTCGACGTTGGCGTATTAGCTCCAGAATCTTCAAAGATAGACGTCGCTTACAGACTCTCTGCTTTCCTAGCACTATCGTAAAGAACCTCGACGACTTGTATTCTTCACCGATGTTGCCGGTACCGAAATCTTCGCAGAAACTCATAAGAGAGATAAAGAAATCCTAACAGTTGACGTCCTTGATGTTTCCCTTCTTGAACTGCGCAGCTCTCTTTTCAC